CACAGTCCCTACTCTTGGAAGCTTGCAACGGAGTGAGGGTCACAGACATTTAACCAGAGCTGACAGCATGATGAGTGATACGGAGGAGAGATGCAATGTGTGTCGGAAGCCTATGACAGAAAAGCTAAACCCAAGCTGGGAGGCAGGGAAGTCCTCCCCAAGGAAGAGATGTTGCCATGGAGACCAGAAGGATGGCAGGAGTTAGGCAGGCAAATAAAGCGTGGTAATAGACGTTCAGGCTCGGGAGTAGAACGTGCAAATAGTCTGGGACAGAAAGACCCAGCAGGTCAAAGAATAGGGATAGGACTTTGACTAAAGGAAGTACAGTTTAAGAAGCAAACTCAGGCAAATTATCTTTTTTCTCTGTGTCTAAATTTACCATAAGAACTTTGGTGCCCATAAGTTCTGTCTCTTCTCTACCTGACAGAATGCTGTAGCAAGATGCTAAAAGCCCACGTGAAAGTGTCAGGGCAAGGCCAAAACAAAAAGCACAGTTACCTTGAGGTAGAATCCCACCTTGCGAATGAGCTGGCTAAATCCTGCTGATTTCAGGCCAATGTCCACCGGCCCATGTGAATCACTCTCTTTCTGAAGTAGGATTACCCATGAAGGAAAGTGAGTTGGTGTTAACGGCTACGATCTTTCCTCCCAGACTCTTTTAGTAAACAAGGGCTGACTGAATCACAGACCCACTGGAAAACACTCATCAGGTAGCAGGGTGTTTCAGGAACGTGCACCACATGAGGGGTTTTAGGAACCACTTTAAAGCCTTCACTTATTTTTCCACTTGTGCTTAGGCGGGGGTGATCCCAAGTGCCCCCTTCAGACCCGGCCACTCACACATGCGGCTGTCACATCATCATTCTTTGTGTGGTCTGTGGTGTGTAAGGGTCTTTTCCTGATGAAGCGTTGGTTCCATGCCCCACAGTTGAGCGAGCATGAACTACCCAGTCTCTCCTTGTCTCCCCCTCCCTTCTTCTTTTCCTCTTTCCCCTTCTATTTTCTTTCTTGCTTTTTCTTTGATTTTTTGGGCTACTTCCTACCTCATTCTATTTCCCTCTTCCCCTTCCCCCACCAATTCCAAATTCTGAAAGCAGCCATAGTGCAGAGAGTCAGTAGGGTCAGGTGGGGAGGGATGCAAGGGAGACATTTGGGAGAATGAAGGGTTAGAGACATTTGGGGTTAGGGTCTAAAAATGGGAATGATTTCCATTCCTTTTTTTCTTCCATATCATATCAAAATTGGTCTAAAATACATGATTTGATAGTGATTCTTAATCTTGTTTTGCATCACAGAGTCCTTTGAGAGATGACCTTTATAGATGTGCTCCCAAAGAAATGCACATATGATTATCTCCATGACTTTCCTTACACAAGTCCAAGGGGCCCATACCTGCTCATGTGGCTCTAAATTTACTCTCATTTTTTAGTGTATAAAAGTTTAGGTTCAGGATTCAAGAGACTGCTCTCTTGGGTACTGTACCTACAGTTCAGGTGTGCGTGGTCACCAGAGGAGCTATATTATGTGATCAGTCAGGCGCTCATAAGTGGAAGCACTGGAAGAAAGTCCAACATGCTTCCCTATTTATCTACATAAAAACAATCACAGTGATATTCCTTATGTAATCATGCGGACTGGAGCCCACTCTGTTTTAAGCATTGATATATTAGTAATATTTAAAAGAACAAATGCCTGACTGCCTTTCTCACTTTTCCATAACCACTATGAATCTCAATCACTTGAACCCTAATGTCAGCCCAGGATATGGTTTCTTCTGTTTCTCCAACCCCTGCATCTCTTTTTTTTTTTGAGTTGGTGTCTCACTCTGTCGCCCAGACTGGAGTGCAGTGGCCGCTTCCGGCCACCGCAGCCTCGACCTGCTGGGCTCCGGTGATCCTTCTGCCTCAGCCTTCCAAGTAGCCGGAATTACAGGCATGCGCTACCACACCTGGCTGATTTTTTGATTTATTGTAGAGATGAGGTCTCGCTGCCCAGGCGGGTCTCGAACCCGCGGGCTCAGGCAATCCACTCACCTCAGCCTCCCAAAGGCGCGGGATTACAGACTGAGCCACCAAGCCCAGCTTCCCTGCATCTCTAGCCTAACATTAGCTTGGTCCTTTGCTGCACAGTATTGAGATTTTAGGATATTTTGGTATCAAGAGTATTTTGGCCAGTTTGCCCAATTTTCCAGCAGCTCATCTTAACCACAAGTCAACTGTGGAGGGGATCTCTTCTCGGTAGCCACATTAGTTAAGAAGATGGTTTTATTTCACTCTTCTGACTTTCTTATCAACTAGAACAATCTATGCTCTCTCTGAGTCATGAGCTCCTTCGTTTATGAACATTAACTTATGTTTAAGTTCAGTTTACAAGGTTAGATAAGAGAAACTTTAGTCAGACAATATGGTTTTTAGCATTCATACATTGAATAGATACAGAGGGTGTCAAACAAAAGTACACATTTAAGAAAGGAAGAAGCTGTTTTAAAAATGTAATAATCAGATAATCACAAGTTGCATTTGACTTCTACAATTACAAGAAGTGTTCCAAGTGGTTGCCATCAGCATCCAGACACTTCTGATTACGGTGAACATCTTTCAACATTGTTTAAAATGTATATATATATTTTTTGCCACCTTCAGTATTTATGAAAAGCCTTCTATGTGCCAAGCACTGTTGTGGGTTCTAGGGTCAAGACAGTGAGCAAAATGAAGTTCTTCCTCTTGAGAGATTCGCATTCTAGTGGGACAGACACAAATAAAGCAGACAAATATACAATATTACATCAGGCCGTGAAAAGTGCAATAAGAAGTGGGGGCTGTTTTAGATAGAAGTTCAGAGGAGGCCTTCAGAAGAGAAACTTTTTTGGGCAGATGCCTAAAATAAAGTGAGAGAATGCACTACCCGGATACACAGGGGAAGAGGTTTCCAGAGAGAGGAACAGCAGATGCAAAGGCTCTGAGACAGAAATGTGCTTGGTGGATTTAAGGAACAGCCAGAAGCCAATGTGGCCATGGTGCAGTGAGCCAAGGAGGAGGGAGGGCAGGAAATGAAGCGATAGCCGTACCACGGACTGGGAACGCAGGGCCTTCGGTGCCATGTCAGTTCAGGATGATGGATTTTATTCTATGGGTGCTAGAAAGCCCAGAAAGTTTGGAAGCAGAAGAGAAACAAAATAAGACATGGTTTTGAAAGGTTAATGTATCCATTGTATGACAGGGAGATCAGCTGCAGAAAATGACGGTCACCAGGCAGGGTTAGGTGGCAATGTAGGAAAGATGAAGGAAAAATGAAGGAGTGAAGGGCTCACATGCCATGTGTCATTTGGTCAGAGCCAGCAGGATTTGCCGTTAACAGCGTGTGGCATATGAGAGAGAGAAAGGCGTCAAGGACGATTCCAACATTTTGGTCTGGGAAATTGGGTAAATTAGAATGTTGTCTTCAGAAAGCACTTTGCAATCAAGTGTTCATTTGCTAAGTTTGAAGTGCCCTTTAGGCCTTCAAGTGCTGATCTGTGTAGGCAGTTAGGAGCACTGTGAAGGGTTTGGGTGGGAGATATGACTCTGTGAGTATAATACCAGAAATATTTCAGACAGTACAACTGGGTGAAAAAGTGGACAAGTGAGGATGAGGGAGGGAAGAAGTCTGACTACTGGGATGTTCCAATACTCTGAGGGCTGGAGGAGCAGAAGTTTCCACTGAGGAGACTGAGAAGGGACAGCCCCTGGAATGGAAGCAAAACCAGGAGAGTGTGGTGCTCCAAGGACCCAAGGAAGGCAGTGTCTGACTTGGCTTAGTGGAGTAGATAGTGACCTTGACAAAGGTGGCTGCAGTGAGTAGTAAGGAAGAACACTTATATATAGTGGATCCAAGGAAAAACAGATCAGGAGGTGGGAACAGAAAGTATAAACACACGTTAGAAGACTTTGCTATAAAGGAAAACAGACAAATGGGGAGGTAGCTGGGGATGAACCTGGGAGCAGGGGAGGGATTTTTAATAGGAAGGAAATTACATGACTATATGTCGTGTGTGGATGGAAGTAACCCAGCAGAAGACTAATAATGCAAGACATGAAGCAATTGCAGAAACACAACCTTGCAGTAGGGGAGCGCTCTGGGAGGGGCAAGGTTGGCCCTACTGGGAGCACGGACCACCATGCAGGGAGGTAGGGTTTTGGTGGCAGTAATAAATGGAAGTTCTCTTTTTGTTTCTTCTATTTCAGTGAAACAAAAAGCAAGGTTGTCATCTGAGAGAGGAGAGAGAAAGACAGGTTGTGGGTTTGAGGGGAGAGGAGGTGTTAAATAATCAGCAGCAGGATCCCTTATAGTGGTTTGAAAGGTTTTGGCTATTTTTTTTTCTTTTTGCTGTTGGCTCAGCTTTTTTGAAAAAGAGAAATAAAATAATACCTCACCCTTGACATTATTAACTGTCTCAGGATGTTTTGGAGAGAGGATTCCAGTGTGAACGCCGGGGCTTGCCACCCCTGCCTCCATATCCCTTGAATTTTTCTGTTTTCTTTATCATCAGAAATGATGCTTCTGTATCCTTGGTTCCCGGGCTCATGAGCTCAGAATCTTCTCTGTCGCTCTCCAACCTTCATCCTTTATATTCAGTGGTGGGGCACTCTGATAGAGGAATTAACAGACCTGGGTTCCAGTCCTGACGCAGTCACTTACTAATATGTGACTTTAGGGAAGTCATTTAACTTCTGTATTTGAGGTGCCTTACCATACACCTGTGATGATAGAAACCCAGTATTCTAGTTAGTTAGTCTATACAACCCTATCCAAAGTAACTTTAAGATTTCTATTGAGATTTTTGAGATATTGAGAATAGAGTGGGGACCTTCATGGCAGTTTGTGTAGACCACTAAGGACATGGCAACCCCAGGGATGGCACAAGAGAAAGAGGAGGGCCTCCAGTCTATCATTCCTGATCCACAAACACAGTGTGTCTAAAGGCCTCCATAATAAGGGCTCTCTTCTCCTCCCTCCCACAGGTGGAGGTGTGATGGACTGCCCACAGATTCTGTGGCAGTTGGGAACCAGCGTGATGTTGCCCCTGTCACATGAAAGGATGAATAAGAGCATGAATGAAAGCATCCACATCGTCGTCTCAATGGCAAAATCACCAGGGGATATCAACAAGAAGAAAATAGTGTCTCTCGGTCCGTCTGAAGCAGGCTTACCACATTACCTGGGAAACCGCTACAAGTTCTATGTGGAGAACCTCAGCCTGGGAATCCTGGAAAGCAGTGAGGATGATGAGGGCTGGTACTTTATGACCGTGGAAGAAAACATTTCTGTTCAACACTTTTGCCTGCAGCTAAAGCTTTATGGTAATAATGGCAACCTCTTCAGTCCGTGCTGGACGGCCAAGATGGCCCCTGGTCCAAGAATTTAAGCCTCTCTTAAAAGCAAAGGGTATTCAGAATTGGAAAAAGCTAGAAAAATCATCAAATTCAGGGGTATTTACTTATTTTTAATTTTTTTTTTTGAGTCAGAGTTTTGCTCTGTCACTCAGGCTAGCAGAGGACAAACTCCTGGGCTCAAAGGATCCTCCTACCTCAGCCTCCTGAGTAACTAGGACTACCGGTGCACATGCCACCATGCTTAGGCTGATATTTTTATTTTTTGAAGATACAGGATCTTACTATGTTGCCCAGGTTGGTCTCAAATTCTTGGGCTCAAGCAATCCTCCCACCTTGGCCTTCCACAGTGCTGGGATTACAGGGATGAGTCACTACACCAGGCCACTAGGGATATTTAAGCTGTGCTTCATGGAAGAGGTTTTAGAGGGTGGCTCTTTTTCCCCTCCCAAATTGCACATTGGTGGTAGCCGATTAGTGTTAGTTACCCTTACCCTCATTTCTGAAAGGCAACTGGCCTGTGAACTGGAGGGTCTATTGCCCCAAGAGTCTTGGTTTGCAAATAAGATTTCATTTGAAAACAAGATTTTTTTCTGATTTTTAAAAAGTTTAAACACCACTGATCAAAGCCAACTTCTCTCATAGCCAAGGACACTGAAATCCACAGAGAAGTAGTTTGCACGTTTACACACATTTGTGTAGGTGGTTCACTGCACTGAAGGTTCTGAGTAAAGAGAACTGAAATTCAGCCCACACACCACTCCCCAAGCCCTGCCTCCTGGCATGGGATCACACCTGCTAGTGGAAGACGTGCCTTTCTCTCATTTCAGCGAAGGCTCTGGTTAAAAGGTCGCTCAGTTGCAGTACTTACAGTAGGACCCACGTCCACCTAAATCCAAGGCCAGTGCTCTTCTGAGTCTTTTAAACTGCCAGCCCCTTTTGAATGCACCCAGGCCCAGAGGCTTGTCTGAATTCCCAGAGATCCTGACAGTCACACGGGGCTTTCCTGCTTCTTCAAAATGACTGCCTTATCTCTGAGGATGGGACAGGGATTCCCCACTACCCGGCAGTTCTTTGAAATCCTCTGTTATCTAGAAGGGAAAGAGTAGTATTCTCCCCAGTCTTCTCTTGCCCTAGCATTCCATTTTCTTCAAAGAATGCTGGCAGATTTCACTCCAGCCGTGACTGTGGGGCAGGGTTGCCATGAGCATGGAGGCCACACAGGATGCATTTTCCAGGACAGTGTAGATGCCATATAGTCAGTCTTTTTGTTCCTGTAAGGTTTCTGTCTTTGTCACATCGAGTGGTCAGATGTGTACGTTGGAAAATGTGGTCTCTGCAACCATGGCATTCTTCTCCAGTCAAAGAAAAATAGTCAGATTTTGGAGTCAGACAGACATAGGTTCAGATCTCAGCTTGGCCACTTAGAAGCTATGTGACATTATGTAAGACATCCCACCTTTCTAAGACTCAGTTTACTCATCTAAAAAATGAGAATAATCACAACCAGTATTACAATTGTTGAGAAGATTAAAGAAGATGATGAATGTGAAACTCCAGCACCAAGCTTGCTCTATAGAAGTCGCTAAACAAACATAACTCACCCTTTTGTCTTGCCTATTTCATGGCAGTAGAGTGGAATGGATTGATGAGACCTATAGCTGTAATTCAGGACCTATTCCTATCTCAGACACACAAAAGCACTTTACACACACACATAAACACATCCCACTGTAGATGAAATTCCATCACCAAAAATTCATTCTTTTAAGTCTAGGAGATAATCATGTATGTCAATTTAAACCTGTGGGGGTGAGCTGACAACGAGCTCCACTGACAGAACACAGGAGAAAAACAACCTACTTCAAGAATACCAGGAAGGGCAAATGAAGCCCTAACAGGACTGGTTGAAGGGAACTAAATCCGTCTCTATTTTTTCCCAGGTGGTCCTGGAAAGGGTGTAGGGGGTATAGCAAGGTTCCCACTAGAAATAAATCACACCAAAGCCCCCTTAGGGAGGGAAAAACGCCATTAGGCTGTATTTTTTTCTAACAAAAAGGTCAAGAATTCCAGGGGTTCATTTCAGTGATGGCTCCCTTCCTCCCCCCTCCTGACAGAGCAGGTCTCCACTCCAGAAATTAAAGTGATAAACAAGACCCAGGAGAACGGGACCTGCACCCTGATGCTAGGCTGCACAGTGGAGAAGGGGGACCATGTGACTTACAACTGGAGTGAGAAGGCAGGCACCCACCCACTGAGCCTGAGCCTAGCCAACAGCTCCCGCCTCCTGTCTCTCACCCTCGGCCCCCAGCATGCTGGCAACATCTACATCTGTACCGCGAACAACCCCATCAGCACCCGCTCCAAGGCTTTCCACCCATGGTCCATGTGTGAGCCAGGGTCCTTAGGTGAGTACACTGGTGATGGCTCAGGAGCCATCTTAATGAGTAGGGCTCAGTCTCCACGTGCACCAATTGCTCTGCTCCCTTAGCCAAGGCATTCACTTAGTATCAACACTTTCTTTACCTTTTGCAAAAGCTTCCCATGTGTGGTCAGTGAGCACACTCTAATATTGACCCGCGTTATTGTGCTTGGCTCACAGTTGAAGAAGTCAACAGGAAATGATGGAGCCAGACCCAGAAGCTATGTCTCTAAGGCATGATCTTTCCTCTCCTCCTTCTGCCTTGGCTCCAACTTGCAAGGTTGGCTGAGTGGGACAGAGCAGGGGCAGGTCCTATCTCCCAGTGTCATGCTCCACGAATGGTGGGACAACTGTACACCATCGAGTATTTATGGGTCACCTACCCTGTAGGAAATTGGGAATCAATATGATACGTGATCTCTGCTCTTTGACAATTCATTGTAAAGATAAGACATGAAACATTTGCTCATAATGAAACACAGGATATAATGAAGGGTCTCATTTTCTGGAAGGGTCTGCGAATTCCACAGCAGGTCAGAGAGCAAGGGGAATTAGAAAGATGTGGGACTAAGACACTGTGTCATCAATTGTGTCATCTCTTCTAACCCTTACAATCACCTTACCAGATAGGTGTTATCTTCACTCTCATTTTACAGATGAGGAAATTGAAGTGTATAGTATTTATGTACCTTCCTCAAGTTTCTTTAACTTCTAAGTAGTGGAGTTAGCACTTAAACCTAGATCGTCTTTTTCTAAAAGAAAAGCATCATTACTTTGTTACCAAAAGGAAGACAGAACTTATTTAAGGAAGCTCATCTCACCATTTGGACATAGGACAGAACACTTTGCTGCCATGAGGCAGAAAAGAACACTTTTCAACAGATATTGTGTTCCTGACTCAGGTTCAGGTTCAGAAGGATTGGGGTGTTGGCCCTGCAAGGCCTTACTTATGTCCTGGTGTTCTCCTCTCTGCATACATTGGAGGGAAACAAGAGTTATTCCAAGGAGACTCCTGCCCAGAGTAGACATGATGTCTATAAGGAGGGTTTTCCCAGATGATCATGGATGAGGGGCCAGGGGAATCCAACCAAGTTGTGCCCTTCCACATAGCACCTTCTCACAGAGACTCCCCTGGAGTATTCCCAGATGGACTGCAGGGAAAATCTCACCTGGCCTCCTGTCTGCACCTGGGAGCTCTTTTCTCCCAGTCATTTCTTAGCAAGAGTCACCCATCTGTCCACTCACTGGAGATGTCTGACTGATGGCCCGCCTTGTATACGAACCACATTCAAAGGCTCTCCCTCCAGTTCAGACCTCTCTCTCCCTGCCCATAGTCATTCAGAAGGTTCTGGCAGCACCAAGAGAGCAGTGCTGTGTAGTGGGTAGCCTATAGAATGTGACCCACAAGCCCAGAACAATGCTGTCCCTTCTACTTACGAAGGTACACAACTCAACCCCTCTGAGACTTGGATTCTCCATCTATAAATAATAACTGTCGAGTCTTCATTGTTTACTGTGTGCCAGTTATGTGGCATCTTGTTTAATCCTCACAGCAACCACATAATATAGATAGTATTAGTATCCTCACTTTACCTATGAGGAAACAAAGCTATTAAAAGTGCAAGTAAGGACGCACACAGAGCAAGTGACAGAGCCGGCTGTCTGAATCTAGAATCCTCATAGGTATTAGTGAAAGAGATAATGCACTTATAGCATAATAAAATGTAGTTTTTATTATGAAAGCTACATAGGTATTATTACCCATTTTTTATTTTAAATGGGAGCAGTAGCCCTTGTCTGAGCACAGCCCTCTCTGCTTATAGCCGTCCTATTAGAGTAAAAAGACAGGGAACCGAATGTTTGCCCTGGCCTATCCCAAAAGGGGGAAGAAAGCTTTTGTGCTCCTCAATGTGGTCTACTAAGAATTTAATTAGTGCATACAAATGTCTTGGTAGGCCATAAAGCTCAACCAAGGGCACTTGGGCCAGGGCGTTCTAAGGAAATGTGATGTTCTTACCCATCTAAGCCACTTTGAGAATCAAGTACACACTAGTGTGAAGCAGATTTACTGAGTATGAAGCAGGTTTTTATGAGGTATGGAGGGACAAGAAGCCCCAGAAACATGGCACCATGGGAAGAGACCATGAGGGTCTTGGCTCAGTCATTGAGAGAACTGCCTGACGTGAGGCAGCCATTTCCCTGTCTTGGGCCTCTGTTCCATCATCTGTAAAATGAAAAGAGTGGGCAAGGGAAGGCCCTTCAGAGTCGGTAGTCTATGGTTCAGTGTGTGTGAATATCAATAAGAACTGCTAAGAAAGGGTTGCCACGACCTAAGAGTTTGCAAAGGCTGTTGTAACAAAAGGTCACAAACTGAATGGCTTAAAATGTACAAATGCATTGTCTCTCAATTCTGGAGACTAGCAGTCTAAAATCAAGGTGTCAGCAGCAGGGCTTTTTCCTGAGGGCTGTGAGGGAAGGATCTGTTCCAGTCCTCTCTCCTTGGCTTGTAGATGGCCTATTTTCTCCTTATGCCTCTTCATATTCTCTTTCCTCTATGCATATTTCTGTGCCCAAATATCCTATTCCTATTAGGACACAGTCATATTGGATTATGGCTCACCTGTATCACCTGCATTCAACTCATAACATCACCCTAATGACCTTAGTTTAACTCGATTACCTCTATTAAAACTTTATTTCCAAATAAGCCACATTCTAAGCACATCAGCATATGAATTTGGGGGGAACACAAACCAGCCTTAACACAAGTAGAGATCCACCCCTTCCCACCCTGCCTTCAGGGATGGGGTACCACATATCCCAATAATAGGTCACGCAGTTGGTTTGTGGTCTGCTCTTCCCAGCATACTAGGTTGTCTAAATACTGCAAATATTGGTGTATTGATTTGTGTTTGTAAATGAATATTACCAATTCTTAAAACACTTCACTTAGTCTGACAAAACTTTTTTTTTTTCTGAGTTGGAGTTTCACTCTGTCGCCCAGATTGGAGTGCAGTGGCCGCTCCCGGCCACCACAGCCTCGACCTGCTGGGCTCCTTCTGCCTCAGCCTTCCAAGTAGCCAGAATTACAGGCATGTGCTACCACGCCCGGCTGATTTTTTTTTGGATTTATTGTAGAGATGAGGTCTCGCTGCCCAGGCGGGTCTCGAGCCCGCGGGCTCAGGCAATCCACTCACCTCAGCCTCCCAAAGGCTTGGGATTACAGGCTGAGCCACCGAGCCCGGCTCTGACAAAACATTTGTTGAGACTCTACTATGTTCCAACCTTGAACTGGATAAAAAAGACATGATCCTTGTCCTTATGGAAGAAGCAGTCCTCTAAGTAAATATTGCCCCCGATTACATAGTGTGACAGTGCAAAACATAAGTATGTGCAAGGTAACAAGGAAGCCAGAGTGATTAACACTGTCTTGGGGCATCAGAGAAAGCACCACGAAGGACGTGACATAAACTGGGTTTCAGAAATAAATGGAAATTATCCAAGCCAATGAAAGGTGTTCTAGGCAGAGGGAAGAGTAGATGCAGCTCCTGTCTTGTTCCAGATTATCCTGTAGGTGATGGTGCTAATAAGAAGTTTGCGATAGAGGAACACCATCAGTTTTGCTTTTCAAAGAGGATATCGCATGACATAGATAATAGACTGAGGCAAGGAAGAGGCAAAAGAAAGAGAAACTAGTTCAGGGGGTGGAGGGGACATCATTGCTGTAATCCTTCAAGACAAAGAGGCCCAAGCCAAAGCAGCAACTGTTAGTTAACAAAGACCTTTTTCATGGCACATCAAGGGAAATCCCAGTCTGGGTGGGATCTGAGGGCTTGTTAGAGGTTACTTCACCATCTATTATCAGGACGGTGATTTTAAGACATTTTCATTAATGAGAAACTCAGAGTAGTTAATAATGTGATAAAACCAAATGTGATGTGATGGCATAATTGCCTCTCATCAGAACTCACTTAAATGAAAACATGCAAAGGTATTTATGTTCCTTGAAATCTTTTTCTTTAAGTGACATTCGCCCAGGCTTTTGGTCATATATTCATCCTTGCTCCAATGGCCATTTCAGTGTTTTGATAGCTATCGTAATGAAGCATCTTTATCACAAAGTCCAAATCCTAGGTGCTAGAGTACTCCGGGAAGGTCATATGAAGCCTATTGATGTGGGACAACCCTGAACAGTGTGTGGCTTGCTGCTGTCCTTGATGACTGTATTCTGAAATAGATGCATCTGTGCTAGAATGATTAATACACACCCTTAACTAACTCATCTAAACGGGAATGCCTCTTCTCATCTTGAAGAGGAGATCTTTTTCAGTGGATTAGCAAAAAGCTGGCTCAGCATGTCTAAGTTAGCTCAGTGGAAGGAAAGGCAGACACCTGCCAGTGAGCTTTGGTGGCTTCCCCCTTCTAACAAGGTAATTTCCTCAAACAGGGGCTCCCATTGTTTCAGAGATACCCAGATGCTCCGTGCACAGGGACAAGTCTCTCTCCGTGGTCTTCCCAATTCAGTGAGTCTAACAGCATGGTGGAAGGATGAAACCTGGGTACTTCTCATGAAACAGAACCTGGGCACATGGCCACACCTGCCACAGGGAAGCTGAGACCTGTAGTCCCCCTTAGCTGGGCAACCTCATGCTATGAAAGCATGGGAGAAATAGCACTGAGGACTCAACGAGCTGTCTGACTTCCAACCTCTGCAACACAATGCTAGGTTGGGTAGGCAGGTGTGATGGATTTTTCTGGAAGCTGTGGACTCTGTAAGAATTTTTACTTGGATGGTCTAGTATGTGGTTCATGATCATTTTTCTCCCACCCCCAATTCAGAGTGGAAACTGTCACCAGCAAGAAGGTATCTCTCAAGGATGATTGTCTTCTTCAAGGAGACATGCACCACACTGGCAGCCTTGCTGACAGAACCACATGAAAGGCAGGAAAGAGATCTGGCACTCTCAGACCGTTACACTAACATCTTGGTATCTCCTGGGTGAACTACATTTGTTTCTCAGATTCTTTTTAGTTTTCTTCATCTTCCTCAAAAAGTAAGGTTTGGGAACTTGTGGAGAGAGACAGAAGCTTTTGTGTTTCTGTGGCAACAGACTTTCAGAGACAAAAGACTTTTTCCTTGGAGACGTGCCAAGATGTCATACTTAAACCACAGCCAACACGAGGGGAGGACCCCAGGGTGAAGACTCGTGCTAAGTACTCTTCCTCAGTGACATGGGAGCTCTCAACCAGCCTGCTCAGCCACCTCTGAGAGGCTGTGGGGTGTGGAGGGGACTCCCAAATCTCCCTCCCAAGAATGCTCAGGTAGTGTTTCTTTGTGAATGAAGGAGAAAGGGACTTGTGGACCCCAGGACAACCTTTGTCTGATTTCTGAGCATCACCATCCTGAGAGGCTTCACTACATGACTGAGCAGAAAGAAGGAGAGCTGGAGTTTCTGCCACAGGAAGTGGTGGTTTGAAAATGGGAGCACAGGTGACATGCTGGGGGCGCAGACACACACTTGCCTCCTGGCTCCATTTTGTCATCATAAAGCACGAGCCAAGTAGGTCAGTGCCTTTGCCTTCAACTCCATCTGGGGCCATTCAGAAGGTGACCCTGTGTCCCTTCTTACATGTAGCACTCTGTTAATTTTTACAGGACACGTGACAATCTTCTCCCAGATTCATTCTTTTTTTTTTTTTTTTGAGTTGGAGTCTCACTCGGTCGCCCAGACTGGAGTGCAGTGGCTGCTCCTGGCCACCGCAGCCTCGACCTGTTGGGCTCCGGCGATCCTTCCACCTCAGCCTTCTGAGTAACCGGAATTACAGGCATGTGCTACCATGCCCGGCTGATTTTTTGATTTATTGTAGAGATGAGGTCTCGCTGCCCAGGCAGGTCTCGAACCCATGGGTTCAGGCAATTCACTCACCTCAGCCCCCCAAAGGCGCGGGATTACAGGCTGAGCCACCGAGCCCGGCTTCCAGATTCATTCTTATGGCCTCTAATTTAATTTAACTGTATGAAGTGCATATGGAGTGTCCTGCTGCCCTACATGTTTTAAGTAGAATAGAGGACACAAGTAGATGCAAGGTGTTCCTTTAATCTGGGATGTTTCTTTAAACATTAAAAAATTCCTAAAATTCCTCTGTGGAAAAGAACAGGATTTGTTTAGGATAGTACTTTAATAAATGCTAGAAAGCAGACACCCAGGACTCTGGGTGTGGATTGTACGAGAAAGGGGATGAGGTTGTTTATATAGTAATGGAAAGAGAAAGAAGTTTTGAGTCTCTCAGGTGGTTCACAGTGGAACCTCCTCCCTGTGACCCTTCAGTTTCCAGTAAAGGATTTAAATTTGCAGAGATCATGGTGTAGAGTTGCTTTTTAAATTTTTGTTTGTTTGTGGAATCTGATGAAGGGACTGAACCTTGCACCCAAGAAAACACAGAGTAGAGTGAATGATACTAGGGGAGCTAAGACTTAGAACACCATGATAAGATAATTCCCAGAAATTCCAGAAACTATGCACAGCCTAACACCAACAAGCTGTGAAAGTAGTATTTTGTCTGTATTTATCCAAATTTTTAAGAGTATGGAGTCACTGACACTGAGTTTTCATACAAATATCATCAACAGAGAAAAGCAACAAATGGATGAGCACCCAAGTATAAAAATACCTGGGAAACAAACAGGAATACAAACAGGGAAGCCAAGTCATGGCAAAGGACAGCATGGGGCTGAGGCATCTCTGAACATCAGTGAAGAGACTCCTTTGAACTTGAGAGCAAACCCATCTTCATGTTCTTCCAATCAACCAACACAAATGTACTGAGGATCTGTTATGTATCAAGTACCAAGAGCTGCAAAATAAGCATGAGAGGTGGTCTCTGGCCTCCTAGAACCTAGCAGCTAGTTGGAGCATCAAGGTTAGCAGGAGCATTTAACATTTATTGGCCTACATGATGGATTCCAGGTATGCTCCAGACACTTTCCATACATTCCTACATCGGTTCCTCAGAACAACTCTGTGCATCACTGCTGTACTCATTGTACAGATGAGGAAACTAAAGCCTCAGAGGGTATGAGTAGCCTGTCTGAGGTCACAGAACTATCAGGTGGTAGACTAGAATTTGAATCTATCAGTCTGGCTCCAAATACCATCACTGAAAATGGTCTCTGTGGCTCAGATAAAACTCAGGTTCTACGACGCATGACATAAACCACAGGGGTGGCAGGAGTCTAAGTGGGAGGGAAGAATACGAGTTGGGATGGTCAGGAAAGGTGACTCAGCAGAAGTAAGCTTGGCCTGAGTGTCAAGGCTGGGCAGGCATGGTGGACAGCTGAAGGCATGGCAGGAAGGAGAGTACAGGGGAAAGCCTGTAGCCAGAAATGGCAAGTGTTGGGAAGTGAAGGATAAGTTGGCTGCTCAGAGGACTTTTGGCTGAAGAGGTCCCCAGGCATTACAACCTGTCCTGTTTTCCTCATGGAGACCCATTTCTAGAGGCTAAAACAAAGACGGCAAAATCTGTGGTTGTTATCTCATCCAGCTCTGTCACCTTTTCTGTGACTTTAGGCATACCTGTATACGTCTCCTCAATACTATAGTTCCTTTAGGATAAAAAAAAAAGTCTATAGTTCATTTGTATTCCAAAAACAAGGAGAAAAATTAGAGTTTATGAAATGTCTTTTAGGACAATGGCCAAGTTGTCTTTTAGTTCTAGGTGGGTTGGTAGGATCTGGTCATTTGTGTCAGAGGTCAAAGGCAGCAGGTTGTCTTCATCCTCTTGAGACCCCAGAATAGATGAAGAGGGCTGGTGTTACCACATCCTCAGAGCCTCAGCAATGTGCCCTGGCTGTTGTCAGTTTCTGTGAGGCACGGTGGGGGTGGAAGTGGGGTGGGAAAAGGTCCATTTGGCAGGCATCATGGATGCAGTTTTGTCGTGTACTATTTTTCAGCTTTAAAGGCATTATCTTGTTTGTTTGTTTTATTTTTTTAAATCTCAAATGAAATATGAGATAAATATTATCTTTTAAAATGATATAAGTGGTTGAGGTGTTAGTTCTCAAATCAACTGCTATTTTAGAAGTTCCCAAAATATCTATGATAGAAGAAGTAAGAACTAGTCTCAAAATAGTACGCGTTACTGAAACAGTTTACTAGATCAGAGCCATGGGCTAATGAAACACAAAGCTTAGGCTGCAGACTCTGCTTCTTATCTTCATATTTGGGAGATTCTACCATGGTGTTGACAGCGTAAACTTTGAATCAATCGATCTTTAAGACCCACACACGCACACACACATATACACACACCTGTACAGAGGGTTGGTTCTCAGCAACCACAAGCCATTCAGAGTGGAACTGCTCACAGGGTACCTCCGGCATCAGCAGTGATTCCAAATATCATGGTTTATGCAAATTCAGGAGCCTTTTTAGAATGCTTTGCTTGCCCTATAACTTTTTTAAAATTCAGAGCATATGACTGTTGAAGTTGGAATCTGGCAGAGTTAAACATTTAATTTTAGGAAGAGAATCTATAATCAAGGCATTCACAAAGTTAGTTCAGTAAGATTCCTTGGAATGTGCAAAAGACCTAGGAAGAAAAAGAGAAAATCTTTTCAAACCCAGAAGGCAACTTCTGGTTAGCTATTAGGCTGGATCTTGGTGGGATGCCTTTTATGAGTTCATTGAGACTTCAGTCTGTATCTTTGATTATCTCTGTAAACATCTGAATTGTGTCTTCCGTCACTCTGTTCCTTTGTAACCTACCTATTCCTTCATTTCCATTTCTTCCCCACAGATCCATCATAGGCTCAACCACAAGCAGGCATATTCTACAGTTATCTTTAGAAGTCGCCCTTACATTTTAACGTTAACATCTGCTGTTTCACTGTTTAGAACCTTAGTTCTATTATGTGACTTAGAACCCTAGTGCTTCAGGTGGTCTCCCCTGTTCAACACCCTTGCGTGACTTTTCCTAAGTCCACATAAGACTCTCGGACTTTTCAGGAAGTCTGTCTTTAGTATTCAGTCACATTTCTACCCCTAGACCAAGTTCTAGTTCTCAAGGCTCTCCATGCCTGCTTCCTTCTCCACAAAATGAGAGTCATGAATGTACCTACCTTGTAGGATTATTGTGAGGAGTAAATACACATGATGCACTAAAAAAATGTTTGGACCATTGTTAAGTGCTCAATAGTTGTCTATTATTATCTTATTGAAGGAAATGTCTCATTCACTATTTTCCAAAGAGCTGCTCCTGGTTCAAAAGGATTTGGTAAAGTGGGTGAAGGAGAGAAAGCAATGAAAATTATCTCTCTCGTTTTGAGACTTGGTGATTGTTACTCTAGGGCTAATTTTAAACTTAAGAACAATCTAGAAGAGAAACCAAATGCTTTCCTTTCAGTTCAGGTCTGGTGGGTTCAACACAGTTATTTGCATGAACGGACAATAATGGCGTTATTATGTTTATTTTTAAATACAGAAAAGTAACTCTTTCTTCCTAGCAGTATCTCATGAGAATGGTGGAATGTACAGAGCAGCACATGAAACCTTCATGTTCTCTTTACCCAAAATGGATACAGGACACGTTTGAAATTTTAAAATAGAGAAACTAGGCAGAGAGATTGACTTAAGAGAGATGAAGATATGCTTAATTTTAGATGTGTGGCAGTTGAAGTAAAAATAACACATTTGGATAGAAAAATCTTTATGAAAATTAGGAATACGTAAGTCCAGTATCGTGAGAGAAATTGTAGTAAGAAAACAGATACAGAAATCGTCGGTGGTGTAAGGCTGACTTCTAAACCATGAAAACAAACATCTCCCTTGGGAAAGAAGGAAGAAATAGAACACAAGGTTCCAGGATTCCACTTCTGCGTAGGATGTTTTTAAACTCCCAGTAGTTTTGAAATTGTTCTTTGATTCTTTTTTTTTTTCAGATCCAGGACCTCCAGGACTGTATCCTGGGCTGTTTTTAGGGGGTGTCATTGTTGTCAATGTGATTGTCATCACGATGGTACTACTACTGTTGAGAAGAAGAGGTAGGTGCCTCACAATAAAGAGATTCTTATCAGACTGTCTGTGGTAAGCGGGGGACCTCTTCCCCACTCTCAAGCGCAGACATGCTCTCAACACTTTGGCTTTCTGCATGGTGCCACCTTTGCAAAAACACAAGATAGACATATCCTGGGGCCTTGCTTAAGTCAGTCTAATTCGCCATGTTTTGATGCCCCATACTAGGCCACAGGGGTTAGAGAGAAGAACCACAGGGATCTGGTGTGGGAGACGTTATTCAGATCATTTCAACTCAGTATGACTTGCGCTGCAGTAGTACAGGATGCTGAGGGGGTCCAGACAAGAGGCTTGACGGTACTCACTGGGAGCAGAATTCTGAGAAATCTTGCATCTGTTCACAAAGTCACCCTAGGGTAGAATGAAACCAATAAGGCTCAATTATTCCACCGTAGTTTTAATGCCTAGAGGTACTGTCTCCTGGTCTCTCCTCTAACTTGCCCTGTGATTCAACATCTCAGCACCAAGTGTTCCCCTCAGCCACACTGAGCACAACCAACCCACACTGGGGTCAGAATGTCCTGATCCAAGACCAGGACAGATGCCCTGGCTGGCTTTCCCATGGTGAGGACAGAACTTGACACTGATACCACTAAGCTGATGACTGATTTCGTTCTCAAGTAGATCAGTGTCATCCACACGCAACCTTCTTAGAAAAGCCCTTATCTCAGCACTCTGAAGTTGGTTTTGGTTATATAAATGTAGATCATAGTGTAGCTGTCTACTTTTGTCTCATTTCCTCCATCTAAGAGTTGGCTAGGGAGGAGAGACAGTGATTAAGATAGAAATAACGTTGAGAGCCTTTGGGGATGGAGGTGGGGCGGTCGTATTTGGCTTGTACTGTAAGGAAACAATGAGACACCTGAGATGAGAAAACTGAGCTTAACTCGCTTATATTCTCCTACCCAGCAAAGGTGCTGGAGTTCTGCCCTGTACTCTTTTCTCGGCTACACTCTGCTAGTCACGCGGTTGTGTTCTGAAGGAATAGTGTTACCCATCTCACTACAGCTTCTCATTACCTTCCCCATCACACCCCACCTATCCTCATCTCCAGTAATCATTTGTTCCTTGTAAGCCAGCAACACACAAAACTCTAACCTGTGGTAAAATTTTTTAGTCACTATGCCCTCCACAAAAACTTTGCTCAAATTCTGTTGGCAGCTTCTAACTGTACCATTTTCAGAATGCAGCCTTACTCTGAAGGTTTTAAAATTGCCTCTGGCAATTTCATGTCAGAGACTACACTGGTTAAGAACATGGGGTTTGGCTTTAGACATAGGTACATTCAAATGCAGATTTTGCTACTGTCACTCTGTGTGACCAGACAAATGACTTAACCTCTCATCTGCAAAGTGGTGGTAACATTGTACACTCTGTTATTATTGTGGGGACTGATAAGTCGATACGCAGGAAACACTGAATACAGTGGCTTCCATGGATGGATGGATAGTAAATACATGCATGTATTCATACATAGACAAATCTCTCTTTCTCTCTCTCGTTTTTTTTTTTTTTTTGAGTTGGAGTCTCACTCTTTGCCCAGGCTGGAGTGCAATGGCATGCTCACGGTCACCGCAGCCTCGACCTGCTGGACTCAGGCGATCCTTCCTCCTCAGCCTTCCAAGTAACTGGAATTATAGGCACATGCCACCATGCCTGGCTAATTTTTAAAAATTTATTGCAGAGATGAGGTCTTGCCAAGTTACCCAGGTTGGTCTCTGACCTGTGGGCTCAGGTAATCCTTTCACCTCGGCCTCCCAAAGTGCTGGGTTTATAGGCGTGAGCCACCGCACCCGGCTCAGACAAATCTCTTAATGCCAATGAGTTAAAACAACAATGTTTAAGTCCTAAGGCCAGCAGATGGTTGTACTGGAAGCATCTGGAATCAGTACCTAGAGCAGATGTAAAGAGCTTGCAGTTCTTCAGGTTCACTTCAGTTTGTCACTTTTTCATCATCCTCAGCTGCATGACATGTGCAAAGGATACCATGAAGCATTAGAAAAACTGCTATGTTATGGTGACTTAAGACAACTTTATGTTTCAAGTAAGAGCTGAAAAGGACATTAGGCAGTCTACCTCCTCATTTTACAGCTATGCTAAGAGACCCATGAAGATGACATGATTTGTCCGATGCCACACAGCTAATGATGGCTAGAACGTAGATGCCTTTAATTCTCAGGCCAAGAACTTTTTCATTAGATCCTAACACCTTGCTGACTTTAAACTTGCTCCTAAGAACCTGTTCTTGCACTGAGGGAAATAATCTCAGACTAAATTACTGTGATCAAGTGGTCTTTTGAGCAGCAACAATCAGTCTCACTTTTTCCATCTATCTGACCATTTAGGATTGCCCCCTACTGCTACATTTCAGCCTGAATTGACCCTCCAGGCAGAAAGTCTTTCAGGACTGTGGTCTTTATTTGTTTCTCCTAGAGCTCCTGGGAGAGTACTGGGTAGGTGAGTCTAACTTTGCAGAGACTCGTAGATTTGAACCGAAATAACTTGAACCCCCTCGGCTACCTCCAACTGCTTCTGACTACCCCTGAGTCCGACTCTCCATTTCACACACATTCTCTTCCTCCCCATCCCTCTTCTCCACTCTCTCCCTCTTCCTCCTCCTCCCTCTCCTCAGTCAGGATCTGTCTTGACCAAAAAAGTGAAGTTAGAACCACCTGCTTTGACCAAAAAGTGAAGTGCCCTTACCCACACAAGGAAATCTCACATAGACTTTCTTTGAATCCTTTGCGCATCATCAGTGGCTGCCCCTCATTTCCTCCCCAAGATTCACTTCTTCACACGACATATTCCACCATGCGAGGCCTTTCCCTTCCACATGGAAGATGTGCCTCGCCTAAGTGCTATTGCCTCAGAGATGTGTTTTAAGAGGATAAATTAATCAGTGTTACGTCTACCTTAAAGACTGCGATTTCCCATCAAATCTTCCTCCATGCCTCAATTTCACTATAATCTCTAATAGGCCTCCGCACTTCAGTTCATCACTTTCCTGCCATCCTCACAGCTGCATGACTTGTGCAAAGGATATATTAGAAAGAATGAGACAGATCCACAGCACAAGCGTGAAAACGTCCTCAACACATTTGAAGTGAAGAAGGCCAAGTTACAGAGAAGTATCTATAGGATGGCCACATCTGTGTGAAAAAAGCCTAATGAGTATAGCACATATCCAGAACTGCATATCGTTTACCATGTGGTAAATAGCCTCATGCGGCTTTTTGAATTTGAATTAATTTGAATGAAATACCATTTAAAATTCAGTTCCTGAGTCACATTAGTCACCGTTCCAGTGCTCAGGAGCCACCTGTGACCAGCTGTCTTGGACCATGCAGACATGGAACATTTTCACCCTCTTAGGAAGCTCTAATACGCAGAGCTGGTATAGAAAAGCACACATCAAACTTTAAAAGTGTATACTTTTGAGAACGACATTGGACTGGTTAGTGGGGGAAGGAGACATGTTTTCATTTTATGCATTTCCATACAATTTTAATTTTTAGGGTGATGATGAATTACTTCTATAACTTAAAGAGAAAGTGCTTGAAAATGGGCAGAAAATTAAAATACCTGCAGTTCATTAATGTACAGAGACCCCAGGCCCTGAAAATGTCCAGACGTTGGGAACAGAATGACATTGTTGCTTGATTCGCCAAGTAGTTGCAGGTGGATCACACCCCCCCCACCCCCAGACACATGCACACCAAGTCCCTAGAAATAGGGACGTGAGAAAGCTGTGAGAGAAGCAACATGCTACCAGCTGGAGAATACAAAAGAGTTAGAAATAACTAGCCCTGCCCTCAAAGAGCTTCAAATTCCATTGGGAGACCAGATGTGCACATCAAGCCATAGAGGCTAAATATTATATTCAGACAGCACACTAACAATGCCTAATGCACACTGGGCATTTGCAATGCGCCAGACCTTGTTCCAAACACGTGACAAAGGATATCTCATTTGATTATTACAACAGCCCTGTGAGGCAGACATTTCAAATCCCATTTCACAGGTAGAGAGCTAGGCCTAGAGAGATCAAGGAATAACCCAAGACCACATGACAGGTGTGCAAGGGATTTGGGACTTGGCACTTTGTTTCTATGGTACCCTTGGGGAACGTGGGTATGCAAAGGCAAGTCAAGGCCAGACAGGTCTGAGCAGGAAGTTCATGGTGGGGAACAGCGGGAGGTAATCACTGTGGTTTCTTTTTCTCAGGTAAAACGAACCATTACCAGCCAGCAACGGAAGAAAAAAGCCTCACTATTTATGCCCAAGTCCAGAAATCAGGTGTAAGTTCTATACTTTCTCTGAGATCATCTATGTTTCTCATAGGATTTCTGACCAGTCCACCTTGCATGTCTGACATTCACAGTTTTACCCAAAGAGCAGAGAAAAATAGAGAAGCAGAAGTCAAGATCGAGAGCTCTCCTAAAGGTCACTAAACTTCACTATCATAAGGGACTATTTATTTTTTGAAATAATGAAAGACACTGGATGGTCTTCTGGTCATCTGTTTCTTCATAGGAGAAAAATGAGGAAGCTGGAAACAAGTGACAAATGACTTCTTCCAACTCTGGCACACCAGGAGCCTATGGCTCCATGTTATCTAACTCTTTCCTTTTCTTTCCTTTTTTTTTTTTGAGTTGGAGTCTCACTTCGCCCAGACTGAAGTGCAGTGGCACGCTCCTGGCCACCCCAGCGTCGACCTGCCGGGCTCTGGCGATCCTTCCGCCTCAACCTTCTGAGTAGCCGGAACTACAAGCGCGTGCTACCACACCCCACTAATTTTTTTTTAATTTATTGTAGAGACGAGGTCTCGCTAAGTTGCCCAGGCGGGTCTCAAACCCCCTGGACTCAGGCAGTCCACTCACCTCGGCCTCCCAAAGTGCTGGGATTACAGGCTGAGCCATGACTCTTTCCTTTTCTAGGACAAGGGTAGAGACTTGTGGAGAGAGAGGAAGGTTTAGAAAAGCTACTGTGGGACGTGTTGGACTGATCCAAGTTTAGACATTTGCAAAGCACAAAAGAGACAGGAAGGAAAGATCTGGAAAATTCAGACTAGAGTGTAGTTGAACAGATGAATGGTGATGTGCAGTTTGGATATGAAAGAAAGCAAAACTGTGTTAGAATGATCACTGGACTAAGAAGAGAGGGAAGGAAGCCTTGGAGACATGATGAAGTTGAGGAGCAAATATGCTAGAAGGAAGAGGTAGAGAGGCCAAAAGGATTGTGGTTAGAGATGGAGATATTGTAGTGTTTCAGACATTAAGATAATTCTAAGGCAATGCATCAGCTGGAATCTGGCCACTTGCCCATTTAGGGTGTGGGAGGAAGTGAATTTTGCAGTGAAGGATGTGAAGGTAAGACAGTTTAGATTACTACCTCAGAAAAATTGCATCAAATGACAACAACCGCATCTCTGAGAGCCAGAAGACAGCCTCTTGGACAAAGTTATTTTTTCTGCTGTCCTCTAGTGGCCTGGAGGGTTTATTACACAACCCAGAGCTCTATTCCCTCCTCCAACCAAACTCCATTAAATCAACTAGAATCCCAAGAGTCACCCAGTGCTCCCACCTCATGTCTATACATTTAGGTAACCAGGTTTATCTTTATCATGGCTCTTCCTTCACAACTCTATCCCATGCTGCCAGCATACCTCTTTTTTGTTGCTGTTATTGTTTCTCACTGTGAAGCATGACATAAACAAACAAACAAAAAATGCACAACATATAAATGTCAGCTCAACGAATGACCCGTAAGTGTACATCTTGATAGCTAGTAAAGCAAACCTTTTCACTCTGGTTTTCTTCAAGAGTTTTTGGCTCTTCTTGTCCCCTTATACTTTTGTATGTATTTTAGAATCAACTTCTCAAGTACCACAAAAAGAAAAAGAAATTACTACTAGGATTGCATTGAATCTACAGATCTATTTGGGGAGAAATTACATCTTTCATTATTGAGTCTTCTAATACTGCAACAGCGCCACCTAGAACAAGGAACAGAAAATTCATTGCCAGTTTGTCCCAAAGGCCTCCTGTGCCACCTCCCAATCACTACTTCCTCTCTCCTTCCCAAAGACAACTGCTATCCCAATGTCTAGAAGCATAGCTAGTTTCTTCTTTTTTATTTTTTGAACTTCATAAAAGTAAAATTCTTTACTGGTTTTCCTCTTGTTTCTGATTTCTTTTGCTAAATATTACCTTTATGAGATTCATACATGTCTCTGAAATTAGATATAATGTATTCTTTTTCATTGTTTTATAGACTATAAATGTATGAATATATTAGCATTTACTTATCCAACTGATTATTGATGGGAATGTGGGTTATTTCCAGTTTAAGGCTATTATGAAAATTGCAGCTGTGAACATTCATATGCATGTCTTTTGGTTGATATATGTATATATTTTTGCTGGGAATATACCTAGAAGTAGAATTGCTGAATCATAGAATATGTACATCCTCAAATTGGCTAGATAAGGCCAAATTGTCTCTCAAAGTGGAAACACCAATTTATTTTTCTATCAGCTACATATGAGCATTTCAGTGCTATAAATTCTAATGAAATCTTGGTCTTAGTTACCAGTCTTTCAAATTTTAGCCCTACTGCTGGCTGTGTCTCATTATGGTTTTATTTTGCATCTCCTTAATTATTAAGAAAGCTGAATGACTTTTCTATTTATTGGCCATATTAAAATTTTCTCTCTTAAAGCGTTTGTTCAATCTCTTGCCCATTCACCTTTGTGTTTTAGTCTTTTTTATGAATTAGCATAAAAGCTTTCTCTATATCTTGGATATGAGCCCTTTGGCAGTTTTATGTTAGCAAAGACCTTCCCCTATCTGTGGCTTGCCTTTGCGACTTCTGAGAGATACCTATGGATAAAGAGAAGCTCTTAATTTTAGAGTAGAACAATTGAATAATCTCTTCCTTTATAGTTAACACTTTTTGTGTCTTGTTTGAGAAATCTTTCTCTATTACCAGGTAATGAAAATATTATTCTGTCATCTTCTAAAATCTACATGGTTTATCTTTCACATTTATATCTGTTATGTACCTGAAAATGATTTTTGGAGTATGGAGTGAGAAAAAATTGTTTCATTTTTTTTCCTATATGGATATACTGTTGACCATTTGTGGAAAAGATTGTCCTTGTCCCACTGTACTGTCGTCTTTAACATAAATCGAGGGTCCACATATGGGTCAATCTTGATGTTCTCTATTCTTCTTCATTGTTCTATTTGTTTATATTTGCCCAAGTGCCATACTCTCTCAATTATACATTTACTATACATTTTGTTATCTAGTAAAATGAGTCTTTCTACTTGTTCTTTGTCTTCAAGAGATCTTGGCTATTTCTGGTCCTTTTAATTTTTATATATGTTTTAGACTCAACTTGTCTAATCCTCCCTTCCCAACACCCTAAATCCTGCTGGAATTTCAATTAGAACCACATTGATCAATTTGAGAACATACACTTTTATAGTATTGACTCTTTCAATTCACATAAATTACATGTCCTTTCTTTATTTAGATATTATTTAATTTCTCTAATGATACATGGTATATAGATTATATTTTTTTCCATAAGAGGTCTTGTACATCCTTCATAATTTATTACTTTGCATTTGCTATTTTGGAATACTATCATCAATGTTATCTTTAAAAATTTTTAGTTTCTAATTATTATTGACATATGGAAATACAATTAATGTTTGTATATGAATGTTGTATCTGCTACGTTGCTAAAGTCATTACAACATAAATTTCCAGCTGTTTATGTATAGGTGATTAGGATTTTCTCTATACACAATTGTATCATCTGTACAAAATTATTTTCTTTCTTACTTTATAATCCACACATCTTCGCTTGCTTTTTCTTGCCCTATTTTACTGGCTGAGGTGTCCCATATGATGGCAAATGAAAGTGGTAATAACATATAATTCCAAACTCAAAAAGAAAGCTTTCAGTATCTTATTATTAAGTATAATTTTTACTGAAGGTTTTTGTAGTGGTCTTTTTACCACATTAGGAATATTATCTTCTATTCTTGGTTAGCTAAGACATTTTGTCAGAATTGATGTTGAATTTTATCAACATTCTTTCAGCATCTGTTGAGATACTCTTATAACTATTGTTTTTATCTTATTATTTATCTGCTGCTATAGTGAACTGCACTGATTTGCAAAAGTCAAAGCAACTTTGCATTCCTGGAATGGAAGCAATTTAGCCTAGTCCTTTTAAAATATTACTGGATTTTATTTGCTAATATTTTGTTAAGTGTTTTCCCTCATTGTGTTTCTGAGTGATACTGGCCTGAAATTCTTTTTCTGTAACACCTTAGTGATTATGCTCACCTCACAGAATGAGCTGGGGTGTGTGTTAGTTTCCTAGAGCTGTTATAACAAATCATTACAAACTTGGTGGCTTAAAACAGCAGAAATTTGTTCTGTAACAGAAGTCCCAGATCAAGGTGCTGTGTCATCAGGGCCGTACTCCTTCTGGAGGCTTTGGGGAAGAATCTGCTTTGTGTCTGGAGTCTCCAGGCAATCCTTGGTTCTTGCTGGCTTGTGGCTGCATAACTGCAATTTCTGCCTATATCTTCTCACCACGTCCCCCCTCTCTGCCTCTGTGTCTCCTCTTTTCCATCTCATAAATCACTGGATTTAGGAACCACCCTAACCCCGGGTGGCTCATTTTGAAAGCTTTGCCTTGATTACCTCTGCAAAAACTTTGATTCTAAATAATGTCACATTCTGAGATTCCGAGTGGACATATCTTTTGGAGGCCACAATTCGATCCAACCCGCTCCAGGATGTCTTGACTTTTTGTTATTCTCTGGAAATGTTTGTTAGGATTGATTAAATATTTGACAGAATTCACAAGTGAAGCTATCTGAGACTAAGTTTCTTTGGTGGAGAATTTTTCAAGTTATATTTTTATTATTCCATCTTTTCCACTGTTATATTAGTAATTAAATAACCTTTGTCTACCCTTTTTGTGATTTTCCTAGAAATTATAAAGCATATCCTTGACTTACCACAGTCTAATGTTTAATCCCCTCCTGAACAATACCTGAAGTTCACTATGATTTTACCTCCTGATGTAGGTGATTTTTTGGTCATTATTTAAATTTCATATGTTTTTTAAACACACAAGATGTAATTATTATTGATTTATATATTAATATGTGCTTAGAATTATCCACATCCTCACAATTTTCTTTGCTCATATTTATAATGCCTTTACTACATCATTATAAAGATTATAATAACAAGACAATTATTCAGAAACTAACATTTCCATTGTTCTTATTTGTAATGGCTCTACAAGATTCTTATTAAGAATACAACATGGCCAGCCTCGGTGGCTCAGCCTGTAATCCCGCACTTTGGGAGGCTGAGTTGAGTGGATTGCCTGAGCCCGCAGGTTCGAGAGCCGCCTGGGCAACTTGGCGAGACCTCATCTCTACAATAAATCAAAAAAATTAGCCAGGCGTGGTAGCATGCGCCTGTAGTTCCAGCTACTTGGAAGGCTGAGGTGGAAGGATCGC